ATGCTCTTCATAACTGAAGTAAGGAAATTCATGCTAAAGAAAAATGCATGAAGTAAGCAGCTCCTGATCCTCTAAAAGCTCTTCAGAATTTTTTTAATGGAAAGCTGATCCCTAGTGCAACTAAATAAGAACATTCAATAAGTATATATATATAAGATTATAACTAAGAACTCCTGTTCTCTGTCAAGCCAAAACCAGCCTAATACAGTTTGAGTAATCTTTTTATTGGAGAACAAATATATATTTTTTTAATGCCATCAAAATGACCCTTACTATTCAGTATTGCAATTTCTCCCTGGAGCCCTTTTTGAATATCTAGTAAAGTGCTTTGCAGGTGATTACACTACGTTTTGTCCCTCCTCTGTTATATAGTATTCTAACTATTCAAGCTAAACATCTCTGCTGTGTAAAGAAAATAGATTAAGACATCAAACACATTTGTAAAATACAAAATTCACTAGGTTGCATACAAGAATACAAAAACAGAAAATTCTATTTGAAACAGGGTTGAAAATATCAAACACAAAATGAATCCATGAGCCAATATGAACTTATGAGGCACAGAAATAATATTCCAACTTTGCTAATCTTTACCTTTGGAAATACTCTTATGACAAATATTAATAACAAAATCAATCATAAAACAAAGATTTCTAATCTTGTGCTCTCTTTTCAGATACTATTTAGCTGTTTTAATTTTTTTAAGACAAGTGCTGAAAAGGTGGATATTTTCAAACTAGTACACCAAGACCATAAGAAACTAAATGCACTCACAATGATTTGAAAAGGAAAACAAGACAATGTGTGTGGCATTTGGGAAAAAAGTAACATTGTGGAAATTTTATGATGTTCATTAAGACAAAAATCGATCAAACAAAGGTCAGGAAAAAACCCTGTTACAAGGAAAGTTCAGGTCAAATGAATGACAATTATGACAAATGAAAGATTTTATCTTGTTTTGAACGATGAATGACAAATATGGAACAAAGAAGCAGAAAAAAATAAAGCCAAAAGGGTCTTAATATGAACAATAAACTTGACCTGAACAAGCTAGTAGCCACATCCCTGAACAGGAGAACTATGGAAAGTGGCAGTTTGAAAGAAGTGAATCACACAAGTAGATGGAACATACTCATAAGGATGCAGTAACAGTGGAAAAGGAGTGAAGATGGGAGATCAGAATGTGCAGGAAAATTAAATCCATTGCCCTATTCCCCTGTTCACTGTTTGAAGCTTTCTGTTGCTAGTTTATATAATCAAAGCAAATAAAGGAGTAGTCTTGTGTTTAAGCTTCCTTTTATAAAATATTGTGCTCAAGTATTGTATGATTTGACAAAGCTACCCAATGTAAAGCCTATAAATATAGAAATTTACTCTAGCAGTTAGATTAGCTTTAGAACTAGTCCCAGAAGAGCACTGTATTTCTTATTTAAAGTAGAATATCTTCATTTCAAATAAACTACACTATAGCTCTGTCTGATTTGGGAACAAACATTACCCTCATACCGTCAAATCTTACCAGCTATTCCAGATCATTTGCTGGATACTGACAGGGCAGAAGAAAAGTTATTACCTTATCATATTCTGAGGTGACAGCAGATAATGACATAACTGTGCCGTTACGTGTGTAGATGTTCAAAAGTCCCCATGTGAGCCTGTCAGTCCTATTTCAATAGGACCTTAGCTTTTTTCTCTGACAGGTTTTACACTACTCTGTTTCTTGACCTTTATGCCCCTAACTATGTTTTTCATTGTTATCTTGAACCTCCACAAGGTTTTTTGTGACCTCTCAATTTTATTCTCTTGTCTCTTGTCCATACTTTACTTTTCTTTTGCTACAACTAATACTGATAAAACAATAATTTGAAATTTTAAATCAGAAAGCTCAGTTTCTGGCAGAGTGCATGCTGTTATGCAAGACTATCTTTCTCTTCTCTCTCAGCCTTTATGTCATTCTTGCTCTCTCTTTCTCTATTCTTTTCTTCCCTTTCTTTCAGTTCTTTCACATAGCATCTTCAGGTACAACTATCTACTAATTGAGTTGAGTACTTAAGAACAGTTATTAGCTGGGATATCCTTGGGAGGCTGAAATGTAGTAATATTTGAAATCACTGGCACTCTGCAGAGGAAAATGTAATCTATGTTTTTTAAAGACACTTTAATTGCTCAGCAATCATGCAGAACTGAGAAATATAGCTCTGCTTCCAAGATAATAACTTCCCAAATCACAAAGGTTGCTTACTCAATACCCCTGCCATCTAGCAATAATGAGAATGACACCAAGACTCAAAATTTCAACTTTATGTTAATCTATTCTTCAGCATTAGTTTTCTTGTATTTTTGTAATATTTCACATAACCTGCTGTGTGCTACTGTAATTTAAAACATAAAGACTTCATCTTGCTTTGTTACTAAATGAAAGAAGTTGTTCACATTGAGTCCATTTATATAGCCCTAATTCAGCTAGAACTAAAATTAAAAAAAGAATGGGAGTTCTGTATTAGTAAACGGATGAGAAGCTTTAGCACAGAGTAAAGGTAATAATACTAACTACAATCAGCTTTCACTGACCCTTGATTCCTCTTCTTGTAATTTCCCTCTCTTTTTGTGCAATTACTCTGTCAGCTAAAAGGAGTTCAAAGCTTTATTATATTAATTCTATTTAAATCTCTTATTATATATTAATATATTAATATATATTTAACATTTAAACATAACCTTTATATAGGTATCATGATGTTATAAAAGTACACCATCTAGCTAATGCATTGATTAAAGTTTTCCCAGAAATCTGTTATGTCTGTCATATCTGAACTTATAATCATACCTGAACTTCCGATGGTGAAACTTTGGATCTCTGACCTGCTCAAAACTTTCTCTGTGCAAACTACCTCAAAAAAGGAGTCGAGAACGAGTGCGTTTTTAACCCATTTTCTTCTTCTCAGGACCTAAACATCATCTGTCTGTGGACTTGAACCTAGGTTCTTAGGCTCTATTCAAAGAGATTTTTAATGATGTTCAAATGTCATCAGTACTTTTGCAGAATTTACTCAGAATAATGCCTCAATAATTGAAACTATAGAATAATGCTTTTTTCTTGTACGTGTGAAAGAAACAGAAGTATCATATCAATGCCAAAGACATACCACACCCACGTCATAACCAGTTGCAAAGCAGCCATAAAACCCCAGACAAAACAATGTTCAGTACCATGGACAGGTACTGCCCAGAGTGCCCGTCACTGCCACCACAACTTGCTCCAACACCTTTTGTTACAGAAAACACAGAGCAGCTCCTGCCATTTTATATTCAGATTGTACATTCTAAACACTGGTAAATTCTTAAGACCTAATTTGTGGAAATCATCACATTTCTAATTAAAATTACATGTCAAGAAATACCAGCATGAGGAAATACAGGACTATGGAACTAGTTAGCATGTATAACTTGTTCCTTCTGCTAACTTGTACATTCAGTTTGCCATTACCAAGAGGAAATGAAAATAAAATCCCCCAAAAAAACCCAGGAACCTAAAAAGCAGATTAAAATTCCCAAAGCCCTTGTCACTCCTTTTTAACATAACTTGCCCTTACAAGTCATATGAAATATTTATAATGCACTATATTTATCTTCATTTGTTACACTATGCTGAAGATAAAAGCCCTGTATAAAAAATGGTGGCATGAGACAGTCCCTTTATATTTTTCAGTGTGTTGCATGTGTGTTTCCCAACTAAATTACAATCGCACATAATAAATAAGTTTTTTAATAATAGTTTAATAATGCACTTTCATTTTGTTAAATTTAAAAGTTATTAATGTTTCATAAATCTCAACAGTCCCAACAAGATGTAGCAAAATGTTTGACTAATAAAATTATGGAGTTTGTCTTCATCAAAATGAAAAGTTTGTCTTTTAACATCTGTAATTATTAAAGAACAATAAAGTTTCTAAGGAATCAACAAAGTTTCAGTTTCATAGATGACAATCTACAGCTCAAAATTAAGAATAGGGGAAAAAATTGTATTCTCAATTAGTCAGCTGTCTAAATCCCTGTTATAATTACAGATAAATGCATTTCACAACTTAAGGCACAGAATCAGCTAATGCAACTCTGGTATCAGAGACTTCAGGAAATAATACTATCTCACATCTTTCCACTAAAGTACATAGTTGTCAAATGTCAACAATGGCATCTTTAAGCTCCTAATTCTCTGAAAGAATTTATATTTTCATTAAAACTCTGTTTTAAGACATATTCTTGACCTGCCTTATGTCTCACACATCCTTAGATCACTTTCTAGAGTTTGTTACCAGTCAGTATAGCTTGACACTTGTCATTTACAAGTTACAGGTGCATGGAAATCCAAGTAAATTGATCCAGTGTCTTAAATAACATCAGGAATATTTTTAACAAGAATTTAGGTATCTATACCTGGTTTATTCATATGAAAACAAATCATTTGGTAATACAGAACTCAATATCCAAGTCTACATTAATACATTACTTCAAACAAAATGGCAGATCCACATACTTCCATGCATGATCAAAGTAAAAGATCACAGTTCAGCTCTCCTTATAGTTATCACTGCTTTAACAACACTGTAACAAGTCCTGTCAGCAAACATGTTACCCCATTAAAAATCCCCTGATAACTCACAGATATTCATAACATACTCCACTTTCACTATCTAAAACCAAAAATAGTGTTAGAGAAAATTGCAAAGAACCCAAACAGTTTCAAGATTGTTTTGTTTTGTTTGCTTTTTCAGTTTATCTGCAGTTTTAGGGTTTGGGTTATTTCAATTTCAGCAACACTTTTAACTCATTAGCAGGTGTAAAACATTTAGAAAGTAGTGATGAGTTGTATTCATGAAGTTCTGTAACAAAAACTTACCCTTGCATTTTTTCTATCAACATTTCCTTAAATTGAGCATTTTCCATTTGTGCCAATACACTTGTTGAAATGTTGGCTGTAACCAAACACCAGCTGCACTTACCCCAGTGTTGTCATGGTGACAATGGTGTACCAGAAGGCTGCAGGGATGCTGGTGAACTTGCTGGCTGATGAACCTTTCTCTGCATAGTACATGACTGTGGCAAAGATGATAATGGCCATTGTGAGTGAGAAGAGGAGGAAGCCTAACTCCGAGGCACAACTTTTCAGGGTATAGCCCAGGATGCGCAGCCCCTGCGAATGGCGGGAAAACTTAAAGATCCTGAAGACACGAAAGACTCGTAGTGTCACAAAAGCCCCACTGACATCCTCATTATCTGTCATCACCAGACCAATGTAATACGGCATAATGGCAACCACATCAATGATACTCATGACACTGCGCACGAATTTGTAGCGACTAGGGGCCGCCAGCAGACGTAGGAGATACTCAACTGTGAAGATCATGACACAGGCAGTATCCAGACAGAAGAAAGCCACAGCATAACGCTCTCCACATGGCAGCTCTTTGATGCGACCTGGGCTTACCCCACAGGGCACTGTCTCCACCACATTGGCAATAACAGAGACAGCAATGAAGAAACCAGTGACATAGTAGAAGACCAGGGCCAGTGTGCTGGTGTGTGGGTTTTCAAAGGCCCGCCACATCCTCTGCCGAGCTGTCATTGAGGGCAGGGAGCTCTCAGCTGCAGGATCCTGATCGGCATCATCCTGCAGGCGCTCAGCATTCTCACGCCGGCGATCCTTGTACTCCTCATAACAGCAATCGCCAATAATCTCAGGGATGATGCCAAAGAAAGCCAGCTCCTCATCGTAAGCTGAGATGCATTCCTGGCGAGGATAATGAAGCTTCCCGGTACGGTAGAAGTTGAGAATGTGGCGGAAAATGTCAGGGTCCCGATCAAAAAAGTACTGCTGTGTCTCAGGGTGGTAGAAGAAGTCCCGCTCCGAACTGCCCAACAGAGTGTCAGGGTAGCGCTCTAAGGTGTCCAGCCACGTCTGGAACTGGATGCCACTCACATTCAGCACAATCAGAGAGTCCTGACTTCGCTTCCTCTCCTGCCGCGGAGCAGCTGGCATAGGACCTGTGGCCACTGGCATCCATCCTATGGCTGCTGCCCTGGCGAAGGGTAACCAAGCTGCTACTCCTGCTGCCATGGTTCCAAACACCTACTACAGTTAAGGAAGCCAAGCTAGAGATAGTCCTGGTCCAGCCACTAAAACAGAGAGGGGAAAGAAAGATACAAAGGCTCACACATTTTCAAGGCAACAGAATTTCTGAGCATAGTTGTGATTGTCAGTATTAACTGAAAACCTTTATTCTTCCTTTTTGTTTCCTCCCCTTTTTCATCCCAGAATATCCTTTCCAGGGGCTGGTTAGCTAGTTAGGACAACAAATCAGGGCACTTGGAAATCAACGTATTCAAAGCAGATCCTCTAGCAGCCAGATCCTTTGGATACAAGATCCATGGGAGGCCCCTAGAAGGAAGCAGTGGTCCATAAAGCAGTAA